AGTTCCAATCTCCCCGCAGCCTCTCCAACATTTGTTATTTCCGGTGTTTTTGATTTATGCCAGTAATGCCGGGGTGAGATGGCATCTCATTGTGGTTTTAATTTGCATTTCTCTAATGGCTAGTGATCTTGAGCATTTCCTCATGTGTCTGTTGGCCACTTGAATGTCTTCTTTGGTGAAGTGTTCATTTCCTTTGTCCGTTTTTAAGTTTTTAATTGGATTATTTGTCTTTTTGTTGTAGAGGTGGTGGATTTTCTTATAGATGTTAGAGATTAGACATTTGTCTGATTTATAAAGTCCAAAAATTTTTTTCCCACTCTGTAGGTTCTCTTTTTACTCTTGGGTGAAGCCTTTTGATGAGCATAAGTGTTTTATTTTTAGAAGATCCCAGTAATCTAGCTTATTTTCTGGGATTTGTATCCTGTTAATGCTGTATATTAGGGCCTCTAGCATTTATCCTATTTTTTCTTCAATGAACTTTATAGTTTTTGGCTTTGCATTTATGTCTTTGATCCAAATTGAATTAGTTTTTGTGCGTAATGTGAGGTGTGGGTCCTGTTTCATTTTTCTTTGCAGATGGACATCCTATTCTGCCAGCACCATTTGTTAAAAAGATTATCTTTTCCTTATTTGAGGGACTTTGGGCCCTTGTTGAAGATCAGGTGACCATAAGTGGATGGATTTACATCTAGTTCTCTATTCTGTTCCATTGATCAATGTATCTGTTGTTGTACCAGTACCAGGTTGTTTTGACTACCATAGCTGTATAGTAGGTTCTGAAGTCAGGTAGTGAAAGTCCTCCTACTTTATTCTTCTTCTTCAATAGAGCTTTACTTATCCGGGGCTTTTTCCCTTTCCATATAAAGTTAATGGTTAATTTTTCCATCTCTTTGAAGAATGCTGTTGGTATTTGGATCGGGATTGCGTTGTATTTGTAAATTGCTTTGGGTAGAATTGTCATTTTCACTGTGTTAACTCTACCTGTCCATGAGCGTGGGATATTTTTCCATTTATGTAAATCCCGTTGAGTTTCTTGCAGTAGTCTTTTGTAGTTTTCTTTGTATAGGTCTTTTACATCCTGGTTAGATTTACTCCTAAGTATTTTATTTTTTTAGGAGCTATAGTAAATGGTATTGATTTCCTGTTTTCCTTTCCATCGTTCTCTTAATTGGTGTATAGGAATCTAACTGATTTTTGTATGTTTATCTTGTACCCTGCTACTCTGCTGAATCTGTTAGTTCCAGTAGTTTTCTCGTGGAGTCTTTAGGGTTTTCTATGTATAGTATCATATCATCTGCAAACAGGGACAGTTTAACTTCTTCATTACCAGTTTCAATGCCTTTTATTTCTTTTTCTTGCCTTATTGTTCTAGCTAGGACTTCCAGCAGAATATTAAATAGGAGTGGAGATAAAGGGCATCATTGTCTTGTTCCTGTTCTCAAGGGAAATGTTTTCAGCCTCTCTCCATTAAGAGCGATGTTGGCCATTGTTTTGCATAGATGCCCTTTATTATATTGAGACATTTCCCTTTTATACCTATTTTATTGAGAGTTTTTATCAGGAAGCAGTGTTGGACTTGTCGAATGCCTTTTCTGCGTCAATTAAGATGATCATGTGATTCCTTTCTTTCCTTTTATTTATGTGGTGGATTACATTGATTGATTTTCTATTGTTGAACCATCTTTGCATACCTGAAGTGAATCCCACTTGGTCATGGTATATAATTTTCTTGATGTGCTGCTGAATTCTATTGGCTAGAATTTTGTTGAGAATATTTGCATCTATATTCATGAGAGATATTGGTCTGTAATTTTCTTTTTTTGTGGCATCTTTGCCTAGTTTTGGTATCAGGGTTATGCTGGTTTCATAAAATGAATTCGGAAGTATCTCTTCCTTTTCTATGTTCTGAAATAGTTTGAGTGGTACTAGTATAACCTCTTCTCTGAATGTTTGGTAGAATTCTCCAGTGAAGCCATATGGGCCAGGGCTCTTTTTTTGTTGGGAGTTTTTTAATTACCTTTTCAATCTCTTATCTTGTTATGGGTCTGTTCAGATTTTCAGCATCACTTTGTGGTAGTTTGGGTTCGTAGGGTGTTTCTAGAAATTCATCTATTTCCTCCAGGTTTTCCAAATTTGTTGGAGTATAGTGTTTCATAATACTCTGTTATAATCGTTTTTATTTTTGTTGGGTCTGTTGTAATGTCCCCCATTTCATTTATTATTTGGATTATTTGCATCCTCTCTTGTTTTTCTTTTGTCAGTCTGGCCAGTGGTTTGTCGATTTTGTTGATCCTTTCAAAGAACCAAGTTTTGGTTTTGTTGATTCTTTCTATTGTTTTTCTATTCTCTATATTTCATTTATTTCTGCTCTGATCTTTGTTATTTCCTTTTTTCTAGTGGCTGTGGGCTTTTCTTTTTTCTGTTCTCTTTCTATTTGTTCAAGTTCTGTAGTTAATGTTTTGATTTTTTCCCTTTCTTCTTTTTTGATGTGTGCATCTATTGCTACAAATTGTCCTCTGAAGACTGCCTTTGCTGTGTCCCAAACGTTTTAGTATGATATGTTTTCATTCTTGTTTGATTCTAGGAATTTTCTGATTCCATCTCTGATTTCTTCTGTTACCCAGTGATGTGTAAGCAGGGTGTTATTCAGTTTCCAAGTAATTGATTTTTTTCCCTTGGTCTTCTTGTTGTTAATTTCTACCTTGATGGCATTGTGATCAGAGAAGATACTTTGAATTATCTCAACGTTTTGGCTCTTGTTGAAGATTGCTCTGTGGCCTAAGATGTGGTCTATTCTGGAGAACATTCCATGTGCTTTGGAAAGAATGTGTACTTTGCAGCTGTTAGGTGGGGTGTTCTATATATATCTATGAGGTCAAGTTGGCTGACTGTGCCCTTTAGGTCTTCTGTATCTTTGCTGAGTTTCTAGATGTTTTGTCCTTTACCGAGAGTGATGTGTTGAAGTCTCCTACTATTATTGTGGAACTGTCAGTTTCTCTTTTCAGAGCTGTTAGAGTTTGTTTTATGTATTTTGGGGCCTTGTCATTGGGTGTGTAGATGTTTATTACGGTTATGTCTTCATGATGGATCATCCCCTTAATCATTATATAGTGTCCTTCTTTGTCTTTTATGGTGGATTTTGTTTTAAAGGCTATTTTATCTGAGATTAGTATTGCCACTCTTGCTCTTTTTGTTAGCTGTTTGCTGGATATATTTTTTTCCATCCTTTGATTTTTAATAAATTTATGCCTTTGTTTCTAAGGTGTGTCACATGTAGACAACATATGCATGGATCCGGTTTTTTCTTATCCATTCTGTCACTCTCCATCTCTTTATGGGTGCATTTCTGCCATTTGTATTCACTGTAATCATGCATAGATGTGAGTTTATTCCTGTCATTTTGTAGTGCTTTTTTCTGTGGTGATGACGTTTTCTTTGTTCCTCTTACTTTCATGTGCTGAGTTCCTTTTGTTTGTGGATTTTTTTTTTCATTTCTTTTGTTTTTGTAGGTTTTGTTTTTACTGAGACTTTATGTTTTTCTTCTTTATCTTGATGAGTAGGTTTGTTAACTTTCTTTGTGGTTACCTTGAAATTTACCCTTCTTTTCCTAGGTTTGAACCAGTCTATTATTACTTAGGATCACCTTGCCGTCCTCTCCATTAGAAGGTTCTATACCTCCACTCTTTATTCCCTTTTTTATTGTTCTGATGCTGTTGTCATTTACAGATTAACCTCTCTGGTTCCTTGTTGTAATTCTTTTCATTTTGGGTAATCCTTAAGAGTTCATTTGCTAGGGTGGTATCTGGCTACTACAATCCTGTGTCCTGTATTCAGCCTGTGGCCTGATGCTGTTTGTTCTCAGATCAGAGGGCTCTCTTTAATAAGTCTTGTAAGTTTGGTTTGGTTTTTACATAGCCCCTTAATTTCTGTTTATCTGGAAATGACCTAATTTTACCATCATATTTGAATGAGAGTTTTGCAGGATATATTATTTGTGGCTGGCAATGTTTTTTTTCAAGGTTTTGTATATGTCATCCCATTGCCTTCTTGCCTGCATGGTTTCTGCCAGATAATCTGAGTTTAGTATTATTGTTTCTCCTCTGTATGTGACTATTTGTTTTTCTCGAGCTGCTCTCAGTATTCTTTGTCTTTGGTTTTAGCAAGTGTGATTATGATATGCCTTGGTGATTTTCTTTTGGGGTCTATCCTACATGGGGTTCGTTGAGCTTCTTGGATGGCCAGCTTTCCATCTTTCATGATATTGGGGAAGTTTTTTGTCAGCAATTCTTCAATGATTCTCTCTGTGTTTTCTGTTTTCTCCCCCTGTTCTGGAAATCTGATCACTCACAGATTTCTGCTTTTGATTGTATCCCGCATAATTCTCAGTGTTTCTTCATTTTTCTTCATTTTTTTTCCTGATTTTTCCTCAGAGTTGTATCCAAGTATTTGTCTTCAATTTCACTGATTTTATCTTCCATCGTTTCAAATCTGCTCCTCAGCCCTTCTATGACACTGTCCGTTTCTGAAATCTTGTTGTTTATCTTTTTGATTTCTAATTGTTGTTTTTGTATGATTTCTAGTTGTGAATTTATTTTAGCATTCTGTTCCTGTATTATTTTCTTGAATTCTTCCATTTTTTTGTCTGTATTTTCCATGAATTTGTCTGCCTTTTCCATGAATTTGTCTATTTTTCCCAAATTTTTATCTACTTTTTGCTTCAACTCTTGGATAATTCTGAACATTAGAGATTTTAATTCCCTATCAGTTAATTCTAGTGCTTTTTCTTCTACTGGAAAGTCATCTGATGTTTTATTTTGGATGCCTACTAGAACCATCCTGTCCTGTTTTTGTATACGTTTTGATATTGTCTGCTGTTTTCCATGCATTCAGTAGTTATTTTCCTCATTTGTTAATTGTAGGTTTGTTTGTTTTGTCCTGCTTTTTTGTTTTATTTGGTTGTGTCTGAATAGGTGGGCTGTGCATTCTTTGTTGTTTGCTCGTCTGTGAGCATGATACTTTTCACTGCCTTCTCCAGTGGACAACATCAGTCACTCAGGTATGGTACAGCAGGGTAGGTCCAGCTGGAGGGGAGTTGCTGGGATGAGTGGTTTGTGGCATGTACCAGGGCTGACATTGTGGAGCGGGAATCAGTGCAGGGCAGATTCCAGTAGGCTGTGCCTGTGCTGCTTGGGAGTGTGATATTCAGTGCACAGTGCAGGTAGGTAGGAAGAAGGCAGCAGATTGTGATGTGTGGAGGTAAGATGTGTATGGGAAAGATTAGAGAGAGGAGAGAGAAACAGGAGCCAAAAACATATACACAAGCAAAAAAGAGTGGTAAGGGAGCTTACTATTGGAGTGCAGAGTTGAGACACTGAGAAATGGGGAAAAACAAAAACAAGGAAAAGAAAGAAAAAGGGTTAAAGAAAAAAATGAAGAAATCAAGAAACTGGAAATGAAGAAAAACAAAAAATGAAATAGGAGAGAGAAGAAAACAAAACAAAGAAACAAAAAAACAAAAAAAACCAAAAAACCCCCCAAAAAAGAAATGCTCCCAGGGATGTCCCTGTGTGTCTACACAGAGTAAAGGAGTAGCTTGCAAGCAGTGCATTACTTCCTGGCTAGAAGGGGCTCCCAAGCCAAGAAAAGAAAAAGAAAACAAACAAAGAAATCAAAACAGAACAAATCAGACCAAACAAACAAACAAACAAAAGCCCTGGGGGTCCCACCAGCGTGGAGGCTCGGGGCAGAAAGCAGTTTCACCCTCGAGCAGAGTTTTGCAGCCTTTCAGGAAGAAGCAAAGATGGCACACGGAGCCAGGTATTTGAGAGAAAGGAGGGGGAGGTCGTGAGAGGTAAGGAAGAAATCTAAAGAAGCATAAAAAAGCAACACCAGCAGCCAACAAATGACACTCAGGGAGCCGGCCAGTGTGGGCATGTGGAATCCAAAAGACACCAGGTTGATGCCGGCGCTTCTCAGCCAGGAAACTGTGGCCACAGGAGACATAGGAGACCGAGTGGGGGTGAAGAAGGGTGGGGGTGGGAAAGCATATATCACTGGTTACTGGTTGTTCTGTCTCCTGCTGGAAGGTCTGTGAAGCTGCTTTCTTGTACCCCCTGATCACTGATGTCCAATAGGAGTCCAAGATGGTAGATTTGTGCTGCGGTATCTGATAGGGGACCTCTGCATGTATCTCTCCTCACTCTCTGTTCTTGGTCAGTTTCTTATTCCACTCAGCACTTGGCTTTTCTCTTTTTTTTTTCTCTTCATTTGATTCTTAGGGTTTCAGGACTGACATGTGACTCTGTTTAACTTAGTTTTTCGGATCTTTGCTGCGGAGGGACGGCGTGGTGTTTCTGACTATAGCACCATGTTGCCTGGAAGTCCCTCATAAATTGAACTTTGAATATCAGATAATAAGCTATTATTTATCTTATTAGGAAATACTAAACCAAACGAAACCCATTGTCGTCAAGTCAAATCCAACTTATAGCAACACTATAGGACAGAATAGAACTGCACTATAGGGTTTCCTAGGAGTGGCTGTTAGATTCAAACTGCCAACCTTTTGGTTAGCAGTCGAGCTCTTAACCACTGCACCATCAGGGCTCCTATTAAGAAATAGTTGTCAAAATGTAGTGTTCATAGTATAGAATTTGTTTAAATGTCAGTTCCTGGGAACCTCTGTTGAAGGTTCCCATTCTTTGCGTGTAGAGTTACATCCAGGAATCTGCATTTTAAGGCACCCTGGTGTGATTCTGATGCTCATAGTGTGGAGAGGCACTGCTTTTTTGGAAAAGAATCAGATTGTAACAGTACCATCAACAGTCTAACCTCTTGACCTCCTCTCTTCAGGATGATGTACTGGACAGTCGTTGGGGACCACTCCCATATAGAAGAAGCAGCCATGGATGGTACTCTGAGAAGAATTTTAGTACAAAAGAATTTACAGAGACCCACAGGTATGATGTGTTTCTGATGCACTCTAAAATGAGGAGTAGCATGATAAAATTATTAGTATTACAATGTTTTCTTGTTTCTTTGGCAATATAATCATGTTTACAAGCAATAAAATAATGTATAGTAATGACTTATAAGTCATTAATATTTCATGTTATATTTTCCCAACTTGCAAGTGAGGTCTTTGCCATGTTGCCGGTTTTATTGCGGGGATGTTATTTGAAAATTGCTTAGGTTATAAGGCTATTAGTAGAATTTCACATGCTTGAAATTTTGACTGTTTATAGCAGTATATAAGGTTATTTTTACAAATATATGTTTATGATGGAATAGACAGTATTATTCCTGGAAGATGAGACAAAGAGGTGAGAAAATACAAATAATTTTTGAAAAAGACAGGTTTTGTGATTCCGTACCTTGTAATTCACAGCTTTTTTCAATCTAACTTCAACCTCTCTCCCAGTCTTGTCACCTAAGCTACTACTCTGTACTCTCCAAACTGTTCAGGAGCTCAAGCCATTTTTTTCTACTTCCATGTTCTTCTCCCAGCTCTCCCATCTAGAATGCTTTTCAACTTTTGTCTGCCTAGCTGAATCTTACCCAGCTTTTAAGATCTAACATTAGCATTTCTTCCTCAGTAAAGTATTTTCAGACTACAGCAGCCTCAGGGATTCCATGCCACCTTCATCCCCACATCCTCATGAGAAAGTCAGTACACATTCTTTTTAGCACATTTTATTTAACAATCATGCTTTGTAGTATCTTACATAGTTCAAGATTTATTTATATTTTATACTTACAGTCTTATTAACTTTTAATGTTAATGAACTTTTCTTCAACTAGATTGTTTTTATTCTTGATGGAAAAAGTAAAAGGCTTTGGAATTTAGTTCATTTCCGCGAATGTGTCTTCCTTCAATTATTTATTAAGAAAATACCAATTGAATACCTGCCACGTGCTGGAAACTATCCCAGATGCTGAAGAACTAAGTTCCTACCCTTGTTAAGAAAGTTCCAACATTCATAAAGTCTTCCTTCTTGTAGAGAATAGAATATACACTTATGTATAATGTCAGATAGTTATTAGCGCTATTTAGGAAAAAACAAGCAAATAAACATGGTAAAGGATGGGAGTGTCTGAGCCCACTCACATGTAGTGGGCATATACTGAGTTTTCTGCCCAGCCACTGTACTCTGAGAACTTCTGCCACATTTATAGGTGTGGACACTCAGGAACCATTTATTCACTCATTCAACCTATATTTACTGTGTGGCTAGTATGTAATAGGCATGATTCCAGGTATTTGGAATATAAGAGTGAACACACAGCATAAATTCCTGTCCTCCTGGTGCTTACTTTCTGGTGAGGGGCAGAGGGCTGAGATGGGAATGCACAAATATAATATTTAAAAAGTAAACTATAAAGTAAGTTATCGTGGTAAGTGCTATGGAGAAAAGAGCAAAACCAGAGCAGGAGGAAGGATGAAGAATGGAGGAGGGACAGGTTGCAGTATAACATTACATCCTTAGAGTAGGCCTTTTGACAAGGTGACACCTGAATGCACATTGTGTGGTCCTGTCCCCCAACCATAGGTTGATTAATATTCCATATGTAGACCTGGACCCAAGCTAAGCCAATCAAGTGCAGATGTCTCACAGAGAGTTGAAAATAAAATAGCAGTAAATATCTTCAAATTTTCTTTGGGCTCCTCTTAAAAAAACAAACAAACAAAAACACCCAAACCCACTACTGTTGATTTGATTCCCACTCATAGCAACCCTATAGGACAGAGTAGAACTACTCCATAGTTTCCAAGGCTGTAATCTTTACAGAAGCAAACTGCCACATCCTTATCCCTCTGAACGGCTGTTGGGTTAGAGCTGCCAGCCTTCTGGTTAACAGCCGATGGCTTTAACCACTGCGCCATCAGGGCTCCTTTGGGCCCTTCTTCAAAACCAAACCTGTTGCTGTTGAGTCAATTCTGGCTCACAGTGACCCTCTTACCATGTCTTAAATCAAGGATATGGTAGTGTACACTTGCTGATTATTACTACCTTAAAAGTCTTGTATTTCTTTTAACATGGAATGTATATCTTTTTCTCTGTTTTTGAAAACACAGAGAGCTTAATTCGCTAGCTTGAAATCTTCTACCTTAAATATTACATTGGTACTATGGCATTTCTCAAAAGATATTGCTTTCTCTATTTTCTTTTTCTCATAGCGGCCCTATAGGATGGAGTAGAACTTTTTCTCATTTGAGACTAGAGGAAATAGTGGAAAGATCGTAGAAAATTTCAGAGTTCAACAAGTGAGATGCAGGTTACAGAAACGTAATAGTGATTTTGGTATCATGAGAGATGTTAAGAAAATGAATATATGCTTAGTGCCATTATCATGCATCACTAAAACTTAGTGAGCCTGTGTCTTTATATTTTGTATGTCTTCCAAATTGTGATTGTGTTGTGCTTTATTAGAACAAGTATGACATTTTATTTTTTTCTGTACTTTTCCTGACTTCGTCCCAAATATTCATCATTCTCAGTTCTGATAATAATCAGTCCCTTGAGACTTGATTTTTCTTTCTTTCTTTTTTCATTTAGATTTTATTATTGGTTCTTTTTTATTAAAGACAAAAAGGAGACGTGGTATTTTAAAAATAGAAACAAACTTTTTCTTCATATAAACTTCTTCTATAACAGGAAGAGTTAGTTGATTCCTTTATTAACTTTTTAATTTAAAAGACTACCTTTTTTATTAAAGGGCTTAAGGAAAAATCAAAGTCATTGATTTTTGGATCTTTTGGAATATAAATCCCACTTATCTAAAAGCTTTGTTGTATAAATTCTATCTAGATATAATTCTATTCAATAGTATAGTATACCAAAGCCGATAAAGACAGGTATGTCTTAGAGCAGCCTAGACCAATGATACAGTATATAATGCTTTGAAGAACTGCTACTGCTGCTGAAACTGAAGAAATAATATTGTTAGTTAACTTGGTTTAGACATCCATTGTTTTCTTCTTTTTTATGATTAGAAAATGTCATATATTTTCATGTAAAGACCAATTTTGTTGAGGACAACTTTTTGTTGTATCTACTTCTTTATTCTATTATGCTAGTAAGAGAGAAAGAAAAGTGTTTTCAACCCTTCTCAGATAACTGCTTTGATGTATAATGGCAGCAGCATAAAATTGGATCATTTTATGGTTTATATTGTCCATAATTATACATGAAGAAGCAAAAACACAACTGCTAAGATGACTTTAAAGAGCAAATTAATCATTGAGCAGAAACTAGTCAAACATGCATGGGCCAGTTCTTTTAATTGCTAAGTCATCACTTAGAGGCTGGTTGGGTGCAGTATATCTTTATATTATACCTGAAGAACAATATTTATATTAAGCGTGATTATATTTAAGCTATATCTATGTACTTAACGGAAGGATTATTATGGTTTTGACCACAATTTTTTTAGTTTGACTGTTAAGTCTTGGACAGTACACACAAGAATACAATTAGCACATACTCAAAAATAACTTACATTCAGCTGGCCTGCCACTGAGGTGTATCTCCATTGTTTTCTGAAGGTTCTAATCGAGAGAGCTCTTTCATGTTCAGCTGTCAAAGGCATTTAAATTGCATTGTACATTCAAAGTATGCATTGTGAGCCCTGCTGGCACAAATGGTTAAGTGCTCAGCTGTAGCTAACTGAAAGGTTGGTGGTTGAAACCCATCCAGAGGCTCCATGGGAGAAAGACCTGGAGATCTGCTTTTGTAAAGATTGTTGTTATCGTTGTTGCTAAGTGCCATTGAGTTGGTTCTGACTCATAGGGACCCTAGGTACAACAGCCAAGAAAGCTCTGTGGGGCAGTTCTACTGTCACATGAGGTCACTACGAGTCAGAATCTACCAGACGACACCGAACAACAGTAACGGCTGGCTAAATCACTAAAATTAACATCTACTCAATGAAGATTTATTATAGAATATGCTTACATTTCTGTGTTGAAGGAAGACATACTTTACTTCCTAAGATACCCTTTGTCTTAGAGATGTTTTTGCAAGAAAATTTTGGCTGAACACCAATAAAATTTATTAAATTAAAATTTTAAAACATTAAGTAAATAAATAAAGACCTTTTAAAAATAATTTTTGTAGGTAAAATGGTAGACTACTGATAATTGTATATATTATTTTAATTTATTGTTATTCACTGACAGATACCGATGATGGTAATGCGGACAAGCAGTCTCAGAGCAAATTAATGATTAGAGTGAGAAGTTTAACCACCAGTAGAACCTTAATTAAGTAATTTACTATTCATTCTTCCCTACCGTAATCATCAATCTTTAGTTAAAGTTCAGCACACATACAGGTGTCTTACAACACTGTAGGATAACTCCAATAACAACAACAAAAAGACCAAACTCATTGTTGTCACTCTGGTTCCCACTAATCGTGATCCCAAGGAGCCCTGGTGGTGCAGTGGTTAAGCACTTGGCTGTTAACTGAAAGAAAGTTCAGCAACTCAATGGCACACAACAACAAAAACAATGATAATCCCATATAGGTGCAAATGTCTTATGATTAAGTCCATGAACATTTTATATTTTAAGAACTGCACTTCCATGGAGGGATTAAGAATATTCCTAATTTACACTGAATTATTGTAAATAATGTAAGATAAGTAATATTATTAATGAATTAATTCTGCGTATACTATAGAAAGAAGATAAAAAATGAAATATGATAGAAAAGTCTAATAGAAAAAAAAAACCAAAACACAAAAAGCCATTGTCATGGAGCAGATTCCAACTCAGCCACTCTATGGGACAGAGCAGAACTGCCCTGTAGGGTTTCCACGTCTATAATCTTTACAGAAGCAAACTGTCACATCTTTCTCCCATGGAGCGGCTGATGAATTCAAACCTCCAATCTTTTAGTTAGCGGCTGAGCGCTTAACCAATGTGCCACCAGGGCTCCTTGATAGAAAAATAGCCATAAATAGAAAAGTATACAGATAACACAACCTTGCTTGCTGAAAGCAAAGAAGACTTGAAGCACTTATTGATGAAGATCAAAGTCCACAGCTTTCAGTATGGATTACACCTCAACATAAAGAAAACAAAAATCCTCACAACTGGACCAATAAACAACATCATGATAACCAGAGAAAATACTGAAGTTGTCAAAGATTTCATTTTACTTGTATCCACAGTCAAAGTCCATGGAAGCAGCAGTCAAGAAATCAAGTGACGTATTGCATTGGGCAAATCTGCTGCAAAGACCTCTTTAAAGTATTGAAAAGCAAAGATGTCACTTTGAGGACTAAGGTGTGCCTGACCTAAGCCAGGATATTTTAAATCATCTCATATGCATGCGAAATCTGGACAATGAATGAGGAAGACAGAAGAAGAATTGACACCTTTGAATTATGGTGTTGGTGAAGAATATGGAATATACCATGGACTGCCAGAAGAACAAACAAATCTGTCTTGGAAGAAGTACAGCAAGGGTGCTCCTTGGAAATGAGGATGGCAAGACTTCATCTCATATACTTTGGACGTGTTATCAGGAGGGACAAGTCCCTGGAGAAGGACATCATGCTTGGTAAGATCAGTGAAAAAGAGGAACACCCAAGACAAGATGGACTGACACAGTGGCTGCAACAATGGGCTCAAACATAGCAAAGATTGTCAGGATGGCACAAGACCGGGCAGTGTTTTCATTCTGTTGTTCATAGGGTCGATGTGAGTTGGAACCAACATGGGGGCACCTAACAACACAACGATATCTGGAAAGGAAAGGCAATTCATAAAGATTTCTTCTATGCAAAGTAAGATTTTTACTGTAGCTTTTTAAATAAGATCTATGTAATCTAAACACGTGTGTCTGAGTTAACAATTGAGTTATTTCAAGTTTTCTGATTTCTACAGTTCCCAGATGCAGACTGTGAGCCATTTCTATGATTCTTGTACGTATGCATTAAGAAGCAAAAACATAATTTTATAGTAATTTCAACTTGATTTTTATTATTTGTCCATGTGTGCTGATTTTGCAGGCCTGGCTGTGGATCATTTTAGTGAACGCATCTATTGGGCTGACTTCGAGCTCTCTGTTATTGGCAGTGTTTTGTATGATGGCTCTGATTCAGTAGTCTCTGTCAGCAGCAAACAAGGTTTGTGAAGTGTTTTTGTTTCAAATATTATTGAGAATATTAAATGATAGTATATAAATATAAGTATGGAAGCTTTATAGGTATAGAAGCTTTTTGGATTTTCTCAAAATTCTCCTTTCAACTTGTAGCTCTTACTGTGGGTTAAAATTTTCATTCTTACTTAAAAAACAAAGAGAGCAGCGAAGAAGAATTTCTTGCCTCTAGGACAAACATGGTCCATTGTTGCCCAGACTCATAAAATAAATTTATTCTGTTGCTTCTGTGGCTGTTGCATTCAGCGCAGACCTCTTCAAGTAGTCAACATTAGTACCTGTGAAAACTAATTTTTATTTCTAGTTGTAGTGATAGCAAGCAGGAAATTAGTTGTATACAGTAAAACGTCTTAGGAACAATTATTCTTATAGATAATTATAAGGCTACTCTCACCATGTGAAAAGCAGTGTGTAAAATTGACAATTTTCCCTCTACCACCAGTAACCTCAGAATATGCTTGTGTTCTTTTTTGTACCCTTTTTAGATCCACCTCTCTGTCTGCCTCTTTCTTCCCTCTCTCTTATTTTCCCACACTACTTGCCCAACTCAGTTCTCTCTACTGAATCTAATTTCTCCCTCCTTTTTTCTCTCCACCTTTCCTTATTCACAACAAATTGTTCACACTATCACTTGAAGTTTTTATTTACCTGTTTATTTATTTAACATAACTTTGCTTCTTGTTTTTTCACAAAAGCAGGGAAGTTGAGAAATGAAATTTTGCTTTCATTGTGCCTTTGCCTAAAGTGTGTGTTTTTGTATCTATGACCCTAGATGATAATAATTCCGAAGTCCTGTAATTGATTACAATAAAGTTGAAGAGTTTCCATTTAAGTGTACATTTTACTATTTGAGGAAACATTGATGAAAAATATACAGACTAAAAACGCATTTTATGTTTTGCAGTTTGTAATTATTTAAACATATTTTAATTTTATTTGTTATACATTTTAGTACCAAAAGTTAGGTTAATTAACCTTTTTTTAATTTCTTAAAATAATAGTCATAGAATGTGAAAAATTATGATCACTATTATTTTTAGTCAAACTATTCACATGCATGATTGCCACTTGCCAGTTTGGTTTCTTTATTGCATTTCAAAAACAGACAATAGTAATATCAAATTTTTTCTAAGATTTATTTTTTAAAACCACCTCATGATTGCTTGATAAATCAGTCATGCAAATAATCCAGTTTGATCATTAATTTGATCCAGAACGCACACTGAGAATTTGTGAACTGTCTGTTTTTGTGCTGTGGATGTAGTTGGCCCGTAGGCGTTTTTTTGTGAACTGTACAGCATAGAGGATTACTCTGCAATACCATATTTTATGCAAATAACACACATAGAAGGTGCTCATTATTTGCATAAAAATGCGGTAATAAGCCCCCAGGAAATGCTTTATGCTGATGAAGGTGAGAAAAGTGATAATGGAAATATTTTTTATGTTCTTAGAGAGATGTTTAGTTTCCCACATATTTCTACTGCAAATAAATTAATTCAAACAACTGTATAGCTAATATTAAAAAATATTCCAATTCTGAAAAATTTTTTTTAAAAGGACAGTAACAACGTTGTCTGTATGATCATGGATAAACTTAGGTAATTTTCTTAAGTCTAAGAATATACATTGCAACTTTTGTAATCCCTCCTTTTAAAATTCTAGGCTTGTTACATCCACATAGGATTGATGTCTTTGAAGATTATATATATGGAGCAGGACCTAAAAATGGTGTATTTCGAGTACAAAAATTTGGCCATGGTTCAGTAGAGTACCTAGCTTTAGATGTTGATAAAACAAAAGGTGCTTTGATATCTCATCGCTATAAACAAGTTGACTGTAAGTACAATATTTTATAAAGTTGTATCTGTAGGTACATTTTCTTCCCTATAACTCTCAGAAGAATATATTTTTAAAATACCTTAACTATTTCAGCATCTTAACCCTAGTGTATTAAACTTCAATTTTGATGTCACCAAACTTTGCAATTTATCAAAGTCAAGGTTAAGATAATGCAGACGTTTGCATTTCTGCCATAACATTATGGAATTTTTTAACATTTGGCTATGTATTCTTAGAATTAGAATTGATTTATATACATATATCTATATCTATCTATCTATCTATATATATAAAGTCTCATTCTGTTTTTCTAAAATGCTTAAAACCTGTGAGTCTAGAGTCAAAACAAGAAAGTAACAAGCTTCATCATTAGCCATTTTTGTTCTTGTTACTGATAACCAAGTAACTGTCACAGCGTTAACGTTTCATCCTTAAGTGAATACAAGGAGAGCTTTTCCTGAGTTGTGTTTTCTCTGATCTATTTGTTTAGTGATTTATTATTGTTACTTGCCCTCATAGAAAGGAGCAGGTAAACAATCAAGGTTATTTTCTCAAAAAATATGTTTCAAACACTACCATCAAAAGACATTAATGTGCAAAGTAAAAAATATATATCACTGAAATTTTAATGATCTGTCTTTATGTGTGAGCTCACTCTTTAAGAAACTTTTAAAAGATTTATTTATAATCATTCCTCATAGTAAAGAAGGAGCTCTGGCAGTACAGTGGTTAAGTGCTCAACCGTTGACTGAAAAGTCAGCAATTCGAACCCATCAGCTGCTCTGCAGAAGAAAGATGTGACAGTTGGCTTCCATAAAGATTTACAGCCTTGGAAACTTTATAGAGCAGTTCTACTCTGTCCTATAGGGTTGTGATATGCTGGAATCTATTCTATGGCAGTGAGTTTGGCTCATGGTAAATAAAAAGGGATTTTGCCTCATTTGGTACAATAATCTGGAAAAAGAAGAGGTGATATTTGTCCAGATCAGTTTTTAAAAAAGATGAAAACAAAATATGTTCCCTAAATACTTTCCTAAATTCTGTTCAAGCGTTTGATACTCTTTACCAGTTATCTGACGTAATGGTTCCAAGGTTACTATACTTTCAACTTATTTATTTTCTGGATTTCCTCTAGTTCTGTCCTAGAAAACTTCAACTTGCTTCCATCAAGTTTGAATGACTCAACTTAAAACATTTACCTATGAAACCAATCAAATTGAATGTATCTCAAGAACATCCCCTTTCCGACTCTCCACCTATCTTGCATACCAATGAAAATAACCCCTTTAAGCCCCCAAGGCACTTCTCCAACATCGTGGTTAGAATAATTTCAACTTTTGAATCAGACAGAAGTCATCTTGTGATAGGATTTTTAATGAATTATTATATTCTCCTGATTTTCCAGAGAAAACTAATTATTTGTAATCCAGTACGTTTTTTTTTTCCCCAGAAATACCCCAAATCATAGTTTTTCGTTCTTTATCCCTAAAGGATACCTAGAAACAATGAAATATGCAGACACTCCCTCTCATCCTCTACTTCTGCTTAATTCATATTAATATTCATAGTCAAATATTGCCACTTTGATTAAAAAAATAACTAAAATCCTACTCTGAATATAATAGGTGTTTGAATAGTTATTCTTACAGAAAGAAAGCCACTTACATAGTCACCAGTGCATCTACCTAGGTGCCATTTTTGTTTCATTCTAAAGAAAGAATCTCTATTTCTACCCAATGTTCTTAAGGAGAGCCATGAGCAGCGCTGACAGCAGAGGATGCTGATTGGGTAGAAATTTAGACAACCGTAAATGTGGCACATATTTACCCATGCACATGAACTCCTATCTAATAGAAAGGAAATTGTGTTAAACATGATTTTCAGGGAAAAGAGGTCATATTATTTTTTGAACTGTCAAATATATATGGACTTTAAGCCTTTGTAAATACCAGAGGGAAATTGTTTCTGTCTCTTTGAACACTGTCCTGGAGTAACCTAAGATGAGAGTTAGATTGCAAAGGACTTCAGTTGGCTTTACTTTTAATCATAGCCCAGGCTGCACTTTGGAACCTCAGACCAGCTTTCTTGCCAAAAAGCTCTTAGTCACAGGGAAAAGTGACGAAGTATAGATTTGAACAATTTCTTTTCTGTCATAGGAAGTGTAAATTAAGGCTAGTTTACTAGTGATGAGGATTAGGGAATAATTTACCTCCACCCATAAATGAGAACAGTAACATTGAAATTGGGTACTCCCAGAAGAAATTCGATATGGTTTCTTTTCAACATTGTTTATTCATCATTTCACCTCAATGAATTTTATGTTTTTGAAACCTATTGTATCTACAGGGGTGCATTTTTTTTTTCCTTTGTTTTGTTTTAATCAGTACCCAATCCATGCCTGGATTTAGCTTGTGAATTCCTCTGTTTGCTGAATCCTTCGGGGGCCACCTGTGTGTGTCCAGAAGGAAAGTATTTGATCAATGGCACCTGCAGTGATGACAACCTGTTAGGTAAGTATACTTTTATTCTAGAAACAATGAACTACTTCTGATGATAAATTTCCCCAACTATTGAAACTGAGCAAAATTATATACACAATCACCAATTTAGCTGTCTTGGTATTAATGACTCTTGAATGCTTGTGTAAATGATTCTTCTCTTGCAGTTGAAGACTTAATTCATTCTGCACTTGTTCACAAAGCAACACTGAACACTTAGCAAACATTTAACAATTGATTTAGGACTTCGATGTCATGCACAGAACCAGAAAATATTTTAATATAACTATTGTATCAGAGAAGACAATGATATTTTGGAGGATGTCATTCTGCTATCGGTTTAAATCAAACAGAAAAATCCAGTTATTCATTCAACAAGTTTATATTGCATACCTGTGTACCAAATGCTAATTTAGAAACTGAGGGTATCACAGTAAGCAAAACTGACAAGATTCCATCACTCTTTCTCATCACTCAAGGAGTTTAGATTTTAGAAGCTAAGGATTGGAGCAAACAATAAAAAAATTGAAATACCATTTCAAATGCTGGTAAGTGTTAAGTAATAAAATATATTTTGAGGGCTTATGAGCAAATCATAATTCTATGTGTTATATTTCTCACTTAATCCTTTCAGAAAAGCAATGGTATTATGCTGTAATCACCCGTACTTTAATGGATAAGAAAATTGAAGCATGGAGAGTCTAACTTAGTTGTCTAAGGTTACTTGTTAAGTGGTGATACTCCACAGTGAGTGTACTCTTAACCATGACATCCACCTCTGTGTCTCCATGTCACCTATGGTACCCATTTCCAGAGTCGTTGGTAGGATTAGAAATAACATACATAAAGTGCCTAGCACAATGTAGATACATAGCACTCTAAAATACGGTCATCACCAAGTAGATAAGAAAATGAAACAAGTTTTCTTCTGTATTAATTCACAAATTGTGTAGTTGTATGCTTGAAAGGAAGTAGATTGATTTATCTGAATGCAAACTTATTTCAAGACCTTTATTGAGAGATTTCAGTTTTACAATTTCAACCCAACTTGAAAGACACAGTTCTAGAAACTTCCTCAGAGCCCATTCTTATAATTTAAAAGAAAACTTTAAATTTAACTAATCAATGTTAAAAAAAATTCTCAATGGCTTCTAAGCATGGGAGCCTTAGTAATAGATAATTTGGACCTCTTCAGTTAGAAACATAAATAAGTGGGTTTCAAAATTATTGATTGGTGTAGGTAAAAGTCAATTTTTCCTGACATTAACATTTAATATAGCCAAGTTTTTTGGCTCTTTATAATTACTTGCCCTTCTCTAGCTGCTATTGTTAAATGATGAGCACACCGAATATTTTTAATCTTCATGTAAGGCATTTGAAATTCAAATGTTACTCATTCTTGGGTAAGTGTTCATCTGCTCTTGTCTATAGTTGATTATAATTGCTGGAGCTTGGTTACTGAGAGGTGATTTAGTTATTGACAAAAGCAGCCTACTTTTTCATTACAGAACAATTACCGTAGTTTTTGGAAGAATGTAACTCTAGTTTCATTTCGTCAGTGTTGTACTTTTAAATTATTGATGCCTAATGAGATACGGTATAGAAATGCGCATGCCCCAATGTGTAGGGGTTCTGAATATCTAGTGATTTATATAGACAGGTTGAAATGAATCCTCCCTTCATAATCTTAACTGTGTTCATAAAGCCTTAAGTACTTATTTTTTCTGTTCACACTCACAGCCTCTATTAGGACATTTCATGCTGAATGAGTTAGAAATGTTTTGTTAAATTTTAAATTATGCAAGCATACTTCAATTCTAGATCTAACCTCGGTATTCAACTGTTTGCTGACAATTTCCGCTTGTATTTGCATAGGTGTCTCCAATTTAATATGTTCAGAACTAAATCACTCCTCCAGGTCCTATTACCCTTGATCCGCTACTTCATTGTCACTGTCAGAAACTGAAGGATGATCTTAAGTTTTCTTTGTCCCTTTTATACAACATCGACGGGACTTTTACATCCCAATTACCTTTAGAAAACATCCACATTTATTCATTCTACATTATTTCAGGCTGTCATCTTCTGTAGCCAAGACAATTTAAATGGAATCCTAATAGTTTCTCTGCTTTCGTTGTATCCCCTGCCAATATATTCATCCTTAGATTTTATAGAACTCTTCAAAGACTCCACATTGCTTTCAGGGTAAAGTACAAAATTCAAGGATCTTCTCTGACACTGATATTTCTTCACATTCAATCATCTCTCTCCATTTCCTTCCTTGACACTCTCTAATTCAGGTTTAATCACAGCATTTCTTTAATGCCCACCTTATGGCATCCACCGACGTTAATCCACTTGAGCTGTACCATCAGTGTGCATTCTGAACAAAAAATGTTACTTGGTTATTTTACCTTAAAATAAGTGCCTGAATTGCCAGCTGAAATTTAACAATATTACCTTAAAGACTCAGCTTTCAGTTCTTCGTCTTTTTACTAGTTACCTGATATTGCCAGATATGGGCTAGAAATCAGATTCTTAATTTGTGTGTATGTGTGTATAGCATATGCATATTACTTAATATACACAGAGTTTTATCATTTTTCTTTCAATTAATATTCATAACAAATCTAGGAGTTTAGTTGTATATTTGTCATTAAGGCCATTTTAAAGATGAGATTACTGAGGCTCAGATAGGTTAATTTGTATGCCTAATGAGTAACAGAACCAGGACCTACACACAAGTGTCATTAAGCCAACTGTTGTTTTCTTTATACTGTATGTACTGTTTCATGAAAAAACTCCTTCATATTACAAATGCAAATTTTAGTACTGACAACCTGAAGGCTAGCTACATGGCAAAATATTGGAAATATTGTTTTGCAATGAGACAGGTCTCAGAATTATATGGCACTGCTGACAGATAGAAGGAGCCCTGGTGGTACAGTGGTTAAAGCACTCAGCTGCTAACCCACAGGTCGGAGGTTTGAACTTACCAGCCACTCCACGGGAGAAAGATGGGGCAGTCTACCTCCATAAAGATTTACAGCCTTCAAAACCCTATGGGGCAGTTCTACTATGTTGTATAGGGTCACTGTGAGTCGGAATTGACTTGACAGCCGTGGGTTTGGTTTTTGGAGGTTTACAGATAGGAATAGAAATAAATGAATCGTTGCATCATTTGGCATCACTGAGTCTCATTTGGATGTTCTTGTGATCATTACAATGATGTATTCAAGCCTCTGCCATGTATAGACCAATGTATATAAATAAGCAATATAGGCTAGTTAATTTTACCTACAATATAGGCACAGTTTAAGCAGAAAGCATATTCTTTTTTGTCCTGCTCTAAGTAAAGGAGAATTTCTAACGGAGCAAGGCCGTGTCAACACACGTAGCCAAATAACCTGAAAAAACTGGTTCCAAACTAGTCTTTATTATAAAAGTTTCATCAAATTGCTAAAAATTATTTTGCTACCTCAAGGAGTAACCATCATTTCTTACTCTCAGACAAAATGTCACTAAATAGGCAGGTCATGCTTAATCATTTAGAACCAATGTTACCTATGGAAATGTTTCTGACACTGTTCCATCACTATCTTGTACAAAGTCTAAATGACTTGTAGTTTGGGAGGTTTACCTGTTGTTAATAAGGACTGGCATCAAAGAGTATCTCTTTCATTTCTCTTTGCTATAAATACAACTTATATGTTATAAATATATCTTACTTATTTCAGTTTTATTTGGTATCAACTGTTCCTAGAAATAGGCCATGTTTGCCCATATCATAAGGAAAATTTCATGGTTCACGTAGATTTTATTTTTAGAAAGCTTCAGCCAGTTTTATTGTATTCATCAAATTTAACATTTAGCAGTTTAACACATACAAGAAATGGCTGATAATGCTTTCAGTCTAAAGAGGAAAAAGTTAATTTAGCATTTATATTTACCATTCAACAACTGGAATCTCTCTCTCTACAGATAGTATTTAATACTTAAGAGTAAGTGCTTCAGGAGTTAAAAAAAAAAAACTAAGTTCCTAGTATTTAAATATTTTCATTTATTTGCCTTATTCTTATTCAACCATCCACTGAATAACATGTTAATTTGTACATTTCTTTTCATAACTAGATGATTCATGCAAATTAACTTGTGAAAATGGAGGAAGATGCATTTTAAATGAGAAGGGTGATTTGAGATGTCACTGTTGGCCTAGTTACTCTGGAGACAGATGCGAAGTCAACCACTGTAGCAACTACTGTCAAAATGGAGGAACTTGCATACCATCCACTTTGGGTAAATGTCTGAGTGTCATTGTATATTCAAATCATGTGTATTTTTCCTTTTATGTGAAAAATATAAGAAAATAATATTACTAATATAATTCTTGATAACTTAAGAAAATAAAGAATATGCTAACATAAACTAAATTTAAGAGTTAATTCAACGTGACCAATGACAATTTGTTCTAAATTCAGTATATCAAAGTTAAAGTCCCAAAACTTAAACAAATGTGATGATTATTACCATGTGTTGATTGAGCATGAGCTGTGTGACAGGGCTGAATGCTTATAGGTATGCCAACCCTGGCTCAGAATAATTAAGTAGAGCTAGTTTTCCAAACCTAATATGGTTGACTCCATATTCTGTGCTCTTTATTGCGCAAATAGTTTTTTCTAATGCTAAAAATCAATTATTATGGAAAATTAGGTTAATTTTAAATGTAAATAACTGTACTAGCATATCTGAGAGCTCCTCATTCCCGTCTGAAATCTTAACTACTCTGTTGGAATTGCAATGTGATACATAATGTGCTTCAAAAATATCAGGTTACTACATGTTAGGATAACTTGAAATTTTTATTAATTTATGCAATAGCCATGTTCCCAAAACATGTTCTCCGCAGCGTATAAGTGAATACTGAAATATATTTTCCTACTGACTTCTATTAAAGTTAAAATATATTCTCATGGGAAAAAAATAATCCCAATGCATAATAAAAATCTAATTTGCAAATTCCAATATTCAGTGCAAGGGACATTATGCAACTGTCAGAGTGAAATCTATGCGCATTTAATTCTACTACAATAAATGTAAATTTAGTTAGTCAAATGGAAAATCAATCCATATGCTCTTTGTATTCCCTATATGGTTAATTTCCATCTTACTGGGAGTTCTCACTGCTTCTATTGCTTATGCTATTCTTTGAAGTATTCAGCATAATGCTAACCAAAAAAACCACATGAAGACGCTTTCTCAATGGAGTTCAGAAAAATCAAACTGTTTCTGATTTGCATCCTAACAGTAAAATTCATACTGTTTTGTTAAGTTTGATGTCTATAAATATTTTTGACTTATGATTAATTGATAATTATTCTAAGTAGTTAATAATATTCTGAAAATGTATTTAGAAGATTGACTGAAGTAGAAAAGGCACTAGGAGTCTTACTACATATTTTTATTTTGCTCCAGGAAAGTTAGTCAATATGTTAAAGTTACATTGTATTACTAAAGGAGAAATTGTATGCAAAAGAGAATTCATATCGGATGAATGTGTGCTAAAAGGATATGGCCTGTAATTGTATTTTAGTAACACAGATAACCTTTCTTTTATGGAAGAAACTTTTCTTAGGCCAAATGAGTTGTCTAGAGTTTAATTATTTAATTTCTAATTATTTAATTTTCTCATTATGATAATGAAATCCTTGGATTATAACCAGGTGATTTACTTTTATTTAACTTTAGAAACATTTAAGCAGACTAAACAGTTTGACAAAAGAGCCCTGGTGGCACAGTGGCTAAAGCACTCGACTGCGAACGAAAAGGTCAGTGGTTCTAACCCACCAGCCTCTCCACAGGAGAAAGATGTGGCAATCTGCTACCTTAAAGATTTCACAGCCTCGGAAACCATATGGGGCAGTTCTACTCTGTCCGATAGGATCGCTGTTGGTCAAAATCAACTTGATGGCGTGGGTTTAGTTTGGGTAGACAGTTTGACATTCCAAACTATGGCTATATATTCAACCTGCAATGGATCCACAGAGACAAATCATTATAAAACATTGAATTTGCTGTGCTGTTAATGGATTCTAAATTGTATATACTTGCCACAGAACTTTTAATGTTTTGTTCAAATCATTTCTCCAGAGCTTGCTGCATTCTTAAAATCTACAGTATATCAACTTTTGTCTATGCATCAAAATTATAGGTCTCGATTTACATAGATAATACGTTCAGGAAAGATTATATTTTGAATTAGTAATATAAATGTGTCCTCGTATGAATTCAACCTGAGAAATGATTATGTATTGTCTTATTGAATCTAATAATTAACAATAATATGATATTCAATTAAGTCATTAAGAAAGCATTTTTCACTTTTAAAAAGGTGGTTTTATAAAATCAGTTTGGTATTGTAAGCTGCTGAACTTTATTATCTCCTCACAAATGTTAATTTGTTAAACAAATCCCACTGGGCAATTCATGGATTTATTCATTGTTGGTTTACTTACAGTTGAGCTTTTGGCAAAATCCTATGTGGACACTATATAACTAGAGTTTGGGGCAAGTTTAATTAAAATTTATAAGTTTATGACAGTTGCATAGAACTATAGTAATTGAACAAAAGAAATATCACTAGTTAATTAAAAGCACATATCTGAGAGGTATAATTAAAATTTTGCATGCAGGAATGAGTTTTTTTCTCATTCCTTCAACTTTCTTTTTTTTTATAAAGTAATGAGCAAAAAAAATAAAATATATGAGCTATATATTCACATAGGAATGTACTACAAAATAAAATATTTAGACATATTTATTATATCAACAAGAGTCCATGTAGTTCATTTATAAGACCTGCTCATTGGACGATATATTTAAGACAAGGTTTGCCTTGGACAAGCTAATGTAAATCAGAGTACAGCAAAATATTTTTCTGTCATTCTGTTATAGAAAATAGAGAATAATTTATGAAAGTCTTTTTTTTTAATGCATCTTGGATATCATTAGGACATGTATGCAATTAACAAACATATTTGCAATTCATCTCTTAACTTTCTGAGTATTTATTCTCTATGGGATATTCATACTGTTTGGTATTTTCCTTGGACTTAGGGCCTGTTCTTTAGACTTTTAATGTTCATATCAGAATGAATCAGTATTTTTTACATAGATGATTTGGGAGAAACAAGGAAAAGGGTTGGTAAATTTAGGACAAGTTTAATGTCTTTACCCAAGTAATTCTACTCCTAAAGTTTGGTGTTATTCAGAAGGAAAGACATTTAGGAAGTTTTTAAAAATATATAAGGCAAAAGGCTTGGTAAAGATGTGTCAGTGCAATTTTGAATAGTAGGCATTACATTTGTATTGAATTATTTAAATGAATACAACAGGAAGAAGGAGGAATTTCTTATTGTAGCTCTCTCTATCAATAAACTGACAGTTATAATCAGAAATTAAAATAACAATAATTAATATTATTGGCAGGATCATAACAGTTAATGTGTATTGGATGCTATTGTCAGGCACTGTTCTCTGTTCTTGAATCCTCAAAACAAATCTATGAGAGAATGAAAGCAGGATTCTCTAAAATTCTGCTACTGCCTTCGTGAATCACAGTTATTGATTCATTTGGGCCATATGGTGAGAGCAACATTAAATTATTCAGCCTTATGAGGGAGAGCAGAAAACTTAGTATAAGCTTTCTAGGTTGATGACAGAAGGCTTGAGTTGGCTGACTTGCATTCACAAAAAAGACAAAAATGTTTCAGCCTCATTTCCACAAGGACCGCTGAAAATGAACTTTCCAGAAGTATAAATAGATCATGACCTATAATTTGAAACATGAGAGAATATATTAAGTAGTACCTGTTGAGGGAGCTAGATAACGCCCATAGTTCTTCCTTTTCTTTATCAGGCTTTGCTGAATAGTTCTCTGTAATCTTTGTGATACTTAAGACAGCCTGACAGCTATAGTCAACTTGCTAAAATTATGTATAAATTGGCATTCACTTTCAGTCCAGGAAAACATTGTATTAAGTGGAAAAATAGAATGTCAAATCTCTTTATCAAAGAGACCTGCAGTTGTTTAAAGCATTCAGAACTTTTATTGCTTGAATCAAAGTCAGAAGTGAAGACAGATTTCACAAAAAGAGAGTAGTCTTGCAGGCAACAGGTCAGGAGACAGGCTTTCCAATTGCAATCTCGTAACTAACTGAACGGCTCTGTAGTGATCTGTCTCTCAGTTTGTTTGTTTCTGTATAAAAGCATAAGACTGTGGCTTCATCCAAATAGAAAAGGGGTTTTTAGCAAAGACTTATTGATTGTATTTCTGTAGAACACGAAATGTATACCTTTGTAAACGTGCTTTCAAGTTGAAATGTCAATTAAATACTATTACTTAAAGACTGTTTATCAGACTATTAGACATATAATACCATATATAAGACATCTTAACCATGGACAAAAATTTAAGAGCATCAGACTGACTCAATCAGTGCCAAACTCAACTGTATGAATTCAAATACAGTGCTTAGCAAGAGAGCATACTAATGATGTTCAGCAGCAAGTACTGACCTCACAAAAGTAACAAGCATAGTTACTGCCTCATGGGAGGCTTAGATGAAATTACTTTTGTTAGCATGCCTTTGTGGCAACCAATCAACCATTTTTCAGCTTTGTGAATATATAGAAAAAAGATCATAATTTCTTTGTATCATTGAGCAGAGAGGCTATTTTGCCAGTTTAAATCAAACAATACTGGTTAAATCATACCGATGAACAGTAATTTTATGATCAGTGTAAAAATGTTTTATTAAATAAATCTAGCTTTTAAAGACACGTCTCAGTAGTACGGAAAAATATTGAAAAATACTAACACAAGATAACTCGATATTATTGAAATGAATATATATTGTTTTTGAGAAAATGGGGGTTGACAGTGATTGATATATTACTTAACAAAAAGTTACTTAGTAGAACCCAGCCAAATTACACTCTAAAATTATGGGCAAGTGGGCAGTGATTGCTTTACTGAATATAATTTTAACATTTGGGGAATTTTACAAACATAATTGTTGTTATTATGTTTATACCTACTGATATTTTTGAATTATTAATAAACACCCAAAACCCTGGAATATTTCTTAGGTATGTGTCTTAGTTATCTAATGCTACATTAACAGAAATACAACAAGCACGTGGCTTTAAAGAACAAAAATTTATTTTCTCACAATTTAGGAGGCTTGAAGTCCAAATTGAAGCTACCGGCTCTAGAGGAAGGCTCTTTCTCTGTTCCC